TATATATATATATATATATATATATTTATATTTATATATATATATATATATTTATATTTATATATACCTTAACCCAATGATATCAAGTCACCCATACTGCAACCTTTCTGGGAAATCCACAATTATTTCATGCAGAGGAAAGCCACAAATTAAACATGAAGGAAAAATAAAAAAATGAAAAAGCAATAGGGGAGAATAAGGGTTGAGAGAAACTATTATGTGAAACAAAAGCATGGGTATAAACCAAAACAGCAAAAGGCTAAGACTTACCAGTTTTTCAAGTTGTATGTACTTGTGTTGTTGCAATAGCAAATGTGAGAGAAGAAACCCCAGAAGAGAGTTGAGTTCGGAGCGAGCGAGAACAAGAGATGGTAGGCACGTGTAGGGATTAGGAAAGACTCATATGCAGATTTTTTTCTTTTCATAGTTGTATTTTGTCTTTCTTCTTTTCAGATAATATCTACATTTTATTTTATTTTCTATTATAAAAAAATTCAAATAATATTTTTATAAGAAATAAATTTTTTCATAATATGCTTAATTTTGTTGACAGTATTATCTTTGAAAATTATTTTTATTAAAACAATTGATAAAAATATAATTATTCTAAGAGTAAACTAAATAAAATAATATTTTCAGTTTAAATTTAAGCATATAGAGTATTTTGAAATTTGATAAATGATTTTACTTTTCATAAATTTTCTTAAAAAACAATTATTTAATTGATTTGAAACTTATATCTTATTAGGGTAAAGGTTAAATTTAAGAATTTTTGTGATGATTTCTAAATGTGTAGAATCTTTATATTCAAATTCATTTATGTCTACAGGATCGTTTTTTACGACTATTAATAACCATTTTTTTTACAGATTTTACTGTCACTTTTATTCTCATTAATATAAATTATTTTATTACTTATATTATCCTTTAAAGTTTTTCTTTATTTTTTATAATTATATTTTAAGAATATTTATTAATTATTTTATATTTAATAATTAAATATTAATTTTGACAGTATGTGTGCATAAACAATAATTTCTATATTATTATATTATTATGTTCAATTATGTTTGATTGCTTTAAATATATATGTTTGTACATTGAAACTTTACATTTATAATAATAATATAATATGATTAAATATAATGAAATTGAATAAAAAATAATAGAAGGTAAAGATTTTATATTTATTCCACTAATTCCAATTATATTGTTGTGCAGTTTTTTCCTAATACACATTCTCTTTTGTTTGCTCAGCATAGACTTTTCTTGCACTATTACATGAGCATTACTATTCAATTACTAAGAATGGATCCTTTCTTGATAGAACACATTGGAAGCTCCTTTCTATAGGATTCCCATTAAATGAAGCATTATATGCCATTTCATTAAAAGATGTATCTCCATGAATTTTGGGACTTGTTTTCCTTTTATATTCTATCCTTATTCATAATAAGGTCTTCTTAATTTTCTTATTACACTAGTAAAAAATGTAGATTTTGACGCTCCATATACTCTTCTGTTATACCAAAACCGAAGCGTACAAGGTTATATATCTCGGTCCTTATTCAACCCGTGGTGGAACAGCCCTATTGCCTTGGTTCAGACAAAACCGAGGCCTATACAACCATGCTGCTCAGTCTGAAAAGACTGAAAAGGCACTGAGAAGTCTGACAACAAGCTACTGCCTCGGTTCGCCCAGAAACCGAGGCCTATACACCCCTGCTGCTCAGTCTGATAAGTCTGAAAAGACACTGAGAAGTCTGACCACAAGCTACTGCCTCGGTTCGCCCAGAAACCGAGGCCTAAACGCCTTCCTATTGCCTCGGTTAGGACGAGACCGAAGCCTATAAGCCTTTGCTGGTCACCTGAAAAGTCTGAACCATAGCCTATTGCCTCGGTTAGTTGGGAAACCGGTGCCTAAACCGTAGCCTATTGCTTCGGTCTGCAGGCGAACCGAGGCC